TTCACCCACCAGCCACCATCTTCTCATGCCAAGTCCAAGAAAGTGAAAGGCACCAGTGTCATGATATGTGCCTCGGGATTATTCTGTGGGTGACACATGATGTCCTGGGAGAGGCCTGGGGGAGGCGTGACTCTGATGTGCTCTGAGCGTTTCCCCACCCATGCTGGGAGAGGATCTTGTCTCCTGCAGGGTTCAAGGGATGGGACAGAAAGGGGCTGAGGTGCCAGATGAGAGTCTCCAGCTGGCGTCTTGAGCTGGAGTCCGTGGCAGCACCCAGAGCTGCAGGATTTGGGCTCCTGAGCAAAGGTGCTCCCCTGGCGAGGATGGGGCGGACCACAGGGCCAGCATTTCAGTGGTGGGTGAGTTGCAGGTCCCCTGGGGAAGACTGGGACGTGGGATTTCCATGCGCGTGGGCTGCAGAGCCCGTAATTATTGGCGTTTCAGGGTTCGCCAGCGGGGAAGCCCGAGGAACTCCCCCGTGATAAGTGCCGCCGTGAGAGAGGCCGTCACCCCCAGCTCTTCCAGGGCCGAGCGCGGCAGGATGGAGGAGAGGGCAGGGCAGGAGAATAAATTTCATTTTACTGTAGAAATGGAAATTTGTGTCATGGCTTTAAAAATCTGGTTTTATGTGTGTGTTTAATGCCATTCATTTTAAATGTAGTATCATAAATCCTTGCTTCAGAATCAAAGCTGTTTAATTACATTTCACCCATGAATAGTTACCTAATGCCAATAGAGAAAGAGTTAAAAAAGAGAACTACAGAGTAAATCAGAGGTTGAGATCTTTAGCACAAGCATAAAAAATCAATTTAAGATGAATTTTACTACTATAAAAATTCTTCAAATATCCTTTTAAGAGTGGGAAATGCTAGGAAAGCCAGCTCACATTTCAATTCCCTCAGCAGCACGAGAGAAGGACGCCTGCGTGGGCAGAGCCTTGCAGTGCTGGAGCGCACCCCATTTTGCTCAGGGGTGCTGAGGAGGGAACCCTCACTCTGGAGTCTGAGCAGTTGCTGGGGGCACAGAAGCTCCCGGCTCTTGTGGTAGAACGCCCCCTTTCCCACAGCGTACCCTCGCTTCCCTGAGAGACCCCATCTGCAGGGTGTGATGGCCGGCCAGACCCCTCTAGTTCTGGAGCCTAACCCTGACCTTGAGGTGCTTGCTTTGCCAACCAGTCCCACATCCCAGTCTTCCCCGGGGTCCCTGCAACTCACCCACCACTGAAATGGCAGCCCCTGTGCTCCGCCCCATCCTCGCCGGGGGAGCACCTTTTCTTGGGAGCCCAAATCCTGCAGCCCCAGGTGCCACCACGGACGCCAGCTCACGACGTCAGCAGAGGTAATGCAGGAGAAAAGACCCTCTCCCAGCGCCTCAGCCCCTTCCTGTCCCATCCCTCAAACCCTGCAGGAGACGTTGGCTGAGCTCTCGCTGCAGAAGGTGCCAGGCCCAGGTGGCTTGATCAGGGGTCTTGTTTCCCCATTTGAAGGTCGGGGTACGTGGGCCCCATCACGCTTGCTCTTCCTGTCTGGACAGTGGTGGTTGACAGCTCTTTGTCACTCAGGAGGGAGCTGGGACTAACCCTCCCTGCACGCTGCTTCCACCCCTCTGTTCTGCCGCCTTCCCCGGGGATCAGGACAGCAAAGCACATTACATATTTCTCCATCTTTCTTCTTAGATATCATCAGTACCCTGTTTATTCAGTTAGCAAGGAGCGGAGCATGAATCGAATGATTGAAGATGTGTCTCTGAAATTGAATAATATTTAAGCCAAGCAGAAGTTCTCCTTTCCATGGCCAGACCTCACTTAAGTGGGAAGGAAATCGGGACAGTGAGAAGACAGCTCTTCCATGCCCCAAGGGAACTCTGAGAGAGGCCATTTGGTTGCCCTGCTCGGCAAGCCAGTTCTCTGCCTGCAGAGTGAGCCCGGTTTCCCCGGGGCCTCTTTGTGATGGCGGCCGATAAGGGTTTCCAGGCAGTGGCTTGGGCTGTGGAGACCTCAGCCTGTGTATTGAGGGTACTGGGCTGAACGAGGGCCCTGTCTGCGTGAGTTCCCTCGGGCAGGGGTCTGGATAAGGTGGCCGCTTAGAGAAGGCCAGGGCCTGTTCTGTCTGGCCGCAGTGTTCATGGGGTCAGCCATGAACTGTAGCCGGCTCTGCTGGGCTTAGTTCTCAGGCCCAACTGCTGGTCTCAGTTGTCCATGGCTGCCGGTCATCCTAGTGAGCTTCCTTCTTTTTCCCTTCATTCTCTGGCTCCTTCCTTAAAGTTGTCAATATCTGCGTGCTTGGAAACCTCTGACCACCCTCCTGTTCCATTGTGAGGAACAGTGTACGGGGACCCCTATGTGCGTCTCACCCAAAGAGGTCCATTTTTAGAAAGACCCAAGGATCTCGGCAGAGACTTTTACACCCACAAACCACTCCAGCCCAGAGACCCAGCCTCCAGGACAGGACAGCGTGTGAGGCTGGCCCGAGGTCTTCCATCACTGCGCCTGCTGTCAGATGACATGCACATTTCTGCACCTGCAGGACCTCAAAGCGAAGTAACCCTGGACACACCCTTCACTGGGTCTCTTTCCCCCACTTCCTCCCAGCAATGGAAGGAAAGCACAACTCCACACGAAAATAACAACACAGGTGCAGCTCTGTGCCTCCCTGTAGCTTCTCCCTGCCGCCCCGTGGGCTTGGCCATGATATCACCACACGCTGTAGGTGTCGCAGACGCAGGCCCATGGCCGTGTGTGCCCCTCGGCGTGTCTGCTGTCTTCTGGGAAGGTGGAAATGCCATCACAGGCACTTACTCAGGCAGAAGCTCTGGAACTTTAGATCCCAGCTTCTCCGTTTTTAATTGTCTCTTGTTAAAATGTGAGTATCCCAGATGGAATGCAAAAGAGGTTCCTGCTGCTGAGGCCCTGGTTTCTTTTCTGAATGGAAGTGCCAGGGTATTTCCGCCCACAGTACACTTTAAGCCAAAGTAATTTGTATCATCTTTAACACAAGCCCAATACACGAAAGGCTGTGTTTGTTTAACTAGACGTGTAAGCTATGGTTATCTTTATTTCCACTTTAAGTGCATAAGAGAGTAAACCTTTTTAACCATAAGGAAGGTGTTCGGCTTCCTTTTAGCTCTTGCCTCATTATGTACTTTTGACTTTATTCAGATTTGTACAAGCTTGGTTTTTACCTCACAGGAAAAGCAGGAACTAATCGCTCCAGAGATCATCTGAGCTCTTCGTGTGAAGGTGTTTTAAGAAGTTGTGACTGTATCTTCTTTTCTAAAACAGCCTCCAATTCTGTGATACTAAGTGAAATGCCGGTTGTTTGCAGCTCCGGGGTTGGCTCTGTTGCCTCGTCTCCATGGACCAGCCATGTCCACCCTTGTGTGGATAGTCGGGATGGTGCTCTTGGCTGCATTGGCCGCCTGTGCTGGGCTGCACGTCCAGGCAAATGCAGCCTTCGTTGGGAGCCTCCCAGAGCAGCATGCGCGTGTCAAGGAGAAGCATTTTGTAGATCTCAGCGCACAGCCCCCGAGGCAGCCCAGGAAGGAAGGGTGAAGGGCCCGTGGGAGCTGTGCGTCCGCAGCCTCCACAGTGCAGTGATGCTCCCCACCTTTTCACAGAAGCCTGAGGAGCAGCACTGTCTGTGAAAGGAAACTAGAAAACTCCCGCGCTCCAAGCCTGGGAAGTCCCGGGGAAGCGTGCCGTTTGTCTGGGGCCTTGAGAAGCAGGGAAGGAAGGAAGGGAGTCACCTAAAGGTAACGGACCCTGTGCCGGGGCTTCCCAGTGGGGTTCCACAGCACTTGAAATCACAATAGGTTGTGTCATGCACACCACAGCCCTGGGTGGCAGTGGGAGACCTCCCCTTCAGGGCCGTGTCCTCAGTCTGTGGAACACAGCCCCGGAACATCCACCCCTGCTGGGGATGGGGAATCCTTTCCGTTAGGGGCCACCAGGTCGAAGCCACAGAAGAATGAACATCCCAAACAGAGGCAGCCACAAAACAGTCTGAAGCGACTCTGAGAGGTACATGTTCAAACTGCAGGAGACCGAAGGGAGGAGAGTGGCCAGAAAGAACCAAGAAGGCCGCGTGGTAGTTCACGCCTTTAATCCCAGCGGTTTGGGAGGCCCAGGCGGGTGGATCACCTGAGGTCGGGAGTTCGACACCAGCCTGGCCAAGATGATGAAGCCAACATGGAGAAACCCCATCTCTACTGAAAATGCAAAAAATTAGCCGGCTTGGCAGGCGCCTGTAATCCCAGCTACTAGGGAGGCTGAGGCAGGAGAATCGCTTGAACCCGGGACGTGGAGGTTGCAGTGAGCTGAGATTGAGCCATTGCACTCCAGCCTTGGCAACGAGCAAAACTCCATCTCAAAATTAAAAAAAAAAAAAAACAGGAAGATTTGAGAAAGAACCGAGTAGACGCAGGCACGTGAGGCACACGGCTGCTCCCGAGAGAGCAGACCCGCTGGATGAAGGACACACAGACTAGGCCCTCTGGAGCGTGGGAATCAGGGGACCGAAAGTGAACCCTGAGGACTCCCCTGAACACAGCACAGCTATGGAGGAGGCAGGACGCGTGGTTGTGGCCTTGCGTTGTTGGACTTGGGGTGGGGTGGGCTGTGTGGTGCAGCCTAGTGACTGGGTTGATATTTCTGGAAACTTTTCAATAGTGAGTGCTCGATGACTTAGGTGCAGCCATGCCGTCTGTAAGTCTTACAAAGGGACACTGTCACTTGGGTTGCTTTGCGCTGTGATGCAGACTCAGAGCGCACGTCCTGGGAGGCCTGAAGGTGGAGAGTGGGTGCTTGAAGGTCGAGAGTGGGACCCACCCTCGGTGGGTCCTTGCCTCACCAGTCCCCCTCTCTGCGGCACAGCTAGTTGAGACGCGCGTGCCCGTGAAGCAGCCGCAGGTGTTTGCCCGTTTAGATGCAATAGGTTTTTGCTTTTCCAATGTGTGGAGGCAGGGCCCAGAGGTTTACTAAGCCCCTGTTCTCACTTTTGCAGTGCCATGGAGGTCCCAGCCCCTGCTGAGGTTCTCGGAGGTCCGGAGCCCCTGATGCAGTGCACAGCCTGGCTGAATGCCTATTTCCACCAGCCCGAGGCTGTCGAAGAGCTCCCCGTGCCGGCTCTTCACCATCCCATTTTCCAGCAAGGTCAGTAACTAAGCCATCTGCGGTGGTTCCTTTGGGGAGCTTGACTTATTAACGATCGCTGACATCACACTTCATTTTATTGAGTATACCAGCTTGGTATTTTTACATCAGCTAAACAGAGACAGCGTTTGGCCAAGCTGGAGGGACAGGGGTTCACCGCCTCCACCCACTCCAACGCTTGTGTTAGTTTTGGCACAGGGTTGCATAATTCTTGGCAAAGGCAGTAAAAATGATGCATGCAGATTGACTCTTGACTCTCGCTGGCTGAAAGGTTTAAATAGGAACACATCTGAATGGCAGTAAATTTTTCAATAAGCTTATTGTGAACTTCAACTATCTGCTTGCCAACAGCACAGAAAACGAAACTGGTGTGTGGACATTTAGCCACTTCCATACACTCTGTTTGTGACGCTTACATCGTAGCAGGTAGCAGCGTTGGAGCTTCTCGGATAAGTTTTGCATTTAATTTCTCAAACATACCAGAGTTAGCGATATTCTTTCTTAAGAGATAGCTTGAGAACTTACCTGTACATAGCCTGCTTAAGGCTTGTGATAACCTAAAACATTTCCCAGACATTTCTTTTACAGCTTGTGTTTGGCTCTGCTCAATACAGAAATTAATTACAGCAACTAAAATCGCTCCAGACACATGCCAGAAATTTATTTTGCATAGTGAGTTTTTCATAATCATTGTTGTATAAGTGAATGTATATTCATATATGATGTATATAAGGAGTTGTACACTTATATATCCTTAAAGGGAAAGATTACCTTGAGATTTTACATGTGGTGAATTTAAAGCAGTTTGGAGTTTCAGATCGGATTTGCTGGGTAAGCTTAACAGTATTCTAATTGCTGCGGTGCTTCTCAGCACAGCACAGGCTTGAAAATGGAGAGACGTTTTCAGGGGAAGCAGGTAGAGAAACCCCTGAAGGTTGGGCTAATACCTGAGTTCACTTACGAAGTCAGACAGGCGAACAGATGAAGTCATGAGCACGTTTTGTGCATCATGAACTGAAACTGTGCAGCTGTAATGGACCAGGCACCTTGCTGTCCTCTGAATCATATAGAACTATCTCCGGAAGGGTTCAGTGGGGATCTCTAGGATGGGCGGCCAGGAAGCTAGAGTGGGTGGGCCTTTACATGGAACCACAAACATCCACGAAACCTCTCATCATCTTTGCCCACCAATGGGCCGCCGCCAGGACAATGGCACTACCAAAGCCTCCTGGGCTGCCGCCAGCTACGGACCCACCTCTCCCCAGCACCACAAGCCAGTGAGCCAAGCAGACAGTGTGGGGGACCTTGCTTGCTGTACCCCTGACGAGCTGGGCACAGGGCAGGATGTTGCTGCATGGCCCAAGGAAGTCAGAGATTGGTTTTGTTTACTAAAGTTGGGGCTTGGGGATCTTAGAGTGGTGAACTCTTCTCTGTACGATCTCTGTTTGGGGGTTCACCTGCCAGGAGGAACAAGGCTGAAGAGCTGCCCAGGAGGCTTTTTTTCTCCTTAAGCCTGTCAAATATGTGAGCTGAAATGTAAGGTCTCAGGACAGAAAAGTTCTCTTATAAAACCAGGGCAGGAGGTATCCGCATAATCGTATGGAGGCTGAGAGGACGAGCCTGCAAACCCCTGAAGTTTACCTAAGGTTTATTGTGCAACTTGATGAAAAACGTAGAGGCAAAAGTTCCATGAAAATTGTTAGTTTTCTCCAAGTCATATGGTGGTCCCGGCCATGGAGCTAGACCCTGCTGACCTGGTCTCACCAGGGTCCAGAGAGTGATGTGCGCTGGGGCAGGCCGGGAAGAAGCGGAGGAGGAGGCCTCTGCAGCTGCTGACAGGAACTCCGGGACGGGGGTGGCCAGCAAGGAGGGAGGCACTAGAAATAATCAGACACTCTCCAAACCACCCCTGCAAGCGCTGAACCCCTGCTGAACCTTTCCCCCCGTCATTTCTGCCCATGGCAGTATTTGCTGCTCCTAGAGCCGACAACGGCAGGCGGGTCCCTGGGGCTCCTCATCAAGTCCCTAGTGCTTAAGCAGAGTTGGGATCGGCCACACCTACCCTTGCCTCCCTGGCTTTCGGCCCACGCCAGGCCAGGCTGCTTCCTGGGCTGGCAGGTCATGATAGCTCTTGGTGACCAGGAAGACCTCAAAGTAGCCACTGGGATACTGGTAAAGGCTGTCTGGCCCCCTCATGGCCCTGCCCCTCTTGGAAAGCCCTACAGTGTGGGTGGATACCTCTAGCTGGGATGAGGTGCACTCCGGCAAAGTTTTGGGGTGGGAGTGTGACAGCCTCTCACGTCCTTCTCTCTTGGTACTCGAGGAACTCTGAGGCTGGCTGCAGACTCAGGGTGCTGAGCTCAGGGCCTTCTCTCAAGGGTGGGGCTGGAGTCCCCTGGGCCAGGCCTGCCTGCGGATGGTTAGTGGTTGCTATGGGGGCTGGGATTACCCACCACAGCATGTGCAAGCCAGGTTTTTAACATTTAGCTCAATCGTTTACTCCTGGACAGGGGCCAGGTGTACGGATTTTACTGTTTGAAGAAGGGGAGGTGGATGGTGGATGGTTGCTAACAGGGAGTTAATTGGTTCTCCCAGATGTGGGTACGCCCCTTTCTGTCTGGCATGAGTTTGGTTTGCTCTCTGTCCAGTTTGTATCTCGTAACGTCAGTGAAATCAACAGTGAGGGGAGTAGGTCTTTTAGAGGAAAAGTCTTTTGACATCTCAGAGCCCCCGGAAGCTGTGGAGTAACAGAAATCAACCTGCTTTGCAGACTGAGAGGAATGGGTCCATTGTAACATGGAATGAATGTTTCCTTGACCAGTTCCCTTTTCTGTACATTTTAATTTTTGTATATGTTTAACATACTTCTGCATATCATTTTTCACCATATTCTCCCTTCTGAGATTGAGACCAGGTTTATCTATTTCAGCCTGGTTTATCTACGTCAACATTTTTAAAAACGTGATTGTATTTGAGCTCATCCTTGAGTTCCAGCACATTGACCCTTCCTTTCTGAAGGCCTGGCTGGTAACACTTCTGACCGCACAGTTCCAGCCTTCATCCCTTCCTCAGGCCCTTCCGGCCACGGAAAGAGCCTCTCCTGCACGCCACCTCTTCGCAGCACCACCTCGCCTTCCAGGATTCCTCTCTGGAATGAACATGCTGTTCTTGATTTGCTTTTTAAGGCTAACCACAAAAATATGCATTACATTGAACCATACGAAATTGCTCTTTTTGAAGTTAAAACTTACCAAATCCTAGAAATCTCAGACGGTTCAACTTCTTATCTTGGGGAATTTCCAAAGACAGGTTAGTAACTAGGTCGCTGTTGGGGTGTTTCTGCCTGGGGACAGTGAAGCTGCCTTTCCCGACCCAGTGTCCGGAGGTCTCCGGGGCGGCCTCACTGTGAGGCCGGGACAGGTGGGGTTTCCCAGCGGGAGGGCGCTGAGGCCCTGGAAGGAAGCCTCATTGTGCTGCTGGAGGGATTAAGAAGAAACCTGAGCTGTCCAGTGAAGCGTATCCTCATTTCTGGTTCAAGTGTTGTTTTAGTCAGGTCATTTCCTAAAATAAAATTCGTCAAAGTTTTCTTGGTTTTGGGTTTTTTGGCTTTTTTGGTTTGCTATTCTGGTTTTTCTAAAGTGTCAACAAAATCCATTTTCTAGCTATTGTGTGACCGAGACCCAGCGTTTCGTTGCACAGCGTAGCTTTTTAAGGAGGTCATTTTTCCCCGTAAGCCTCTCACAGGGTCAGCTTTGTATTTATTTCTCATTCATTTTTCCTCAAGAAATACTTATTTAATGAAGCCATTATTTTTGAAATACATTTTTACTTTTTTCTTTTATAATGAAATATCATTTAAACTTTTCTCTGAACACCCCCTGATTTCTTAGTGTTTATTTATGAAAATGTTTAGCTTGTTTATATAATACGCCTCCTGGAGAAGCCGTAGAGGTCAGCGGGCAACGCAGTTACAAGAAATCCTTTCTACCCTAGTTTGCCAAAAGCAGCTTTTTGCAATGAGTTCAAGAAAAGCAGAGCTGTGGAAGGCGAGGATGGACTTTCCGATACAGAACCCATCTGGGCACGTCCTCAGGTCCCTGAGCCCTCCCACCCATGGAGACCCTGCCGGCAGGTGTGGCTGACCCCAGGCTGCTGAGGGAGGCCCTGAGGCCAGGGCCTTTCTGCTCCTGCCAAGGCGGGACCAAGCCTTGGGGCTGCCCACGCAAGACTGTGGGAAGCCTAGCTGGGACCCCAGCCTTCTCACAGATGAAGGCGTTCAACAGACGAGTTCTGAGTTTTCTTTGTAAAGTGACTGCAATGTTCCCTTTTAAATGAAATATTTAACACTTTAATAATTCCTTCGTCACAGCTGTTGGCTTATAGCTATGAAATCCAGTTGCATGGCAGCAGCAAAATCTCCGTTTTTTAACGCCTGCTGGTAGAAGTTAAGTTTTTGTAACTTGTATTACAGAGCCTCAGAAAGGATTCATATTTTGTATTTTTGTGTCTCCATCGAATCCTCATTTCAAAAGGGCCTCTAACAAAAGCCCTGCCCCAGAGTTAAGGGAAAGGCCCTTCCGGGTGAATTCATTGAGGTTCCCACTGTGTCCTGGAAGACGGGCCCTCTTTGCTGGTGCTTCCAGTGGGGACCACGTGGGTCCTGGAAGATGCACATCCCAGGAGAGGATGACGAGGGAGGAGAGGAGAGGAGAATAGCATCATTATTTGGGTCCTCACCGGAGCCAGCCCTTTAAGATTAGAAATCTTTCTTGAAGAGCCAAGCGAAGGCTCATCCAGCCCCCACAACCCCATTCTGCTGCCTTCTCACATCCAGGAAAGAGCACATCCCTGATGGGCACCCAAGCAGGTGGCCTCCCCTGGAAAGGGGCACTTCAGCCCTCCTCACCCAAAGGTCCTGGGGCCCATTTAGGTGTTCTTAAAATGTACCTCATAGGTCGTGATCCAGCCTGAGTTTTTCCGCAGAGGCGCTGCAGCCAAGAGGGGATGTCTCTTGTGGCTTCCACATAGATCACGACAGCACACAGGCTTTCTCCTTTCAGCACTTTGTACCGATATTTTCCCTGAACTTAAAAAAAGAAATTACCAATCAAAAGAGAAGAGAATAGCTAAAATAGGAGATGCATTTGCAGCCACCTCTGGGCGGCCACCACTGTTCCCCTTGATTTTAAACGAGGGCTCATAAATATTGTTGACCTTGCTGAGATATTACCTGGTGGAGCTGGAGGGTTTGTAAACCTTCTTCCGGTGCCCGTTTATTGATTAGAACAAGCTAACAACACTGCACTTACGTGGGAAAAACAGCCGGTGAAAATGTAATTCTTTCGGCCTTAGAGCTGCTGGGCTCCTTTCCTGGACGGCAAATGTGGAAATCAAGATCTGTGGCCTTCTGGAACCTTCACCAGGAAATGTGAAAAGAAGAAGAACCGATCCACAGCTGAGAGTGGATGGCAGGCCCACAGATTTCCAGGTGGCCAGTGGGATTGTCCGATGTCTGGAATGAGTACCAGGGACCACCCCCAGGAACTCGTCACTTCTACCACGGAGAGGAAAGCCCAGTGCATTTCTGTGGTTCAGAAACTTGATACAAAGAGAAGCTGGAATGTTTAAAAGAAAAATAGGGCAGGGATCAGTGAAAGTGCAGGATGTGTGCGAAACGGGTAGAGTGAGCGCTGGCAGGGATGGAGGTGGTGAAGGGTCTTCTGTGCTGGGGACACTTACTTATACCAGCCCTGCCCTGAAGAACCCATCCCCTGTGGGTCCAGAAGACCAGATCCCCGCTGATGTCTTCCCTTTCAGAGCTGTCTGGAGGTGCATGCCACTAGTTCCCAGGGTCTCGTCTGCCCGCACTCGGCCTGGCTTTTACGAGACATCCCCATTGATGCGATTCCCTTCCCAGTGAGTGAGCTCCCGTCACCCGTTCTGGCTTATTTGAATACCTGCATCACCTCCAGCCCCTCAGCGGAACAAGAATGTCAGATAATCCAGAATGCTGTTGAGGGCTGCTCCAGGTTGGGGGCTCACAGCCCCAGCATCCAAAAGTCTCATTTCAGCAGGGCATGTCTGCAGGGTCCCCAGGCGCCCCGAGCTCTCCTGGTTTCCCAGGGCTCTGCCTGCATGGGCTGGCCCCGTGGACTGCTGGGCCAGGCCAGCCCAGTAACGGCGGAACACGTCACTCTCAGCTCCTGAGCTTGCCTGACCAGCTACACTCTGGCATACTGGTGAATTTCATAGACCAAAGAACCTGAAGTTCAGATTGTGTATTAGTTCGTTGTTTCATATTTTATTATGCAGTTTCCTACCTACCAATTGTCATGAGTGCTTTCTTGCTCTTTATCTTATGAACAACATCTTGGGCTAGGAGAGAATTTTTAAAGTTTCAACGATGATTCATTCAAGCACATCCCTTTTTCAAGTTACTCTTAAATCTCAGTTCATTCAGTGGGGTTGGGGGAGTGTATATCAGAATCCTCTAGAAATTTCATTTGTAATATTCTACCTACAAATTTTTATACTTCTGGCCGGGCGCAGAGGCTCACGCCTGTAATCCCTGCACTTTGGGAGGCCGAGGTGGGCAAATCACAAGTTCAGGAGATCGAGACAACCTGGCTAACACGGTGAAACCCCATCTCTACTAAAAATACAAAAATTAGCCAGGCGTGGTGGCGGGTGCCTGTAGTCCCAGCTACACGGGAGGCTGAGGCAGGAGAATGGCGTGAACCCGGGAGGCGGAACTTGCAGTGAATGGAGATCGCACCACTGCACTCCAGCCTGGGAGACAGAGCGAGACTCCATCTCAAAAAAAAAAAAAAAAATTTATTCTTCTTATCTCTCCTCAAGATACACTAAAACCTTAGCGTGGGCACACACATACACATACCCTGTTTCTGAGAATTACTGTTCTAAAGGAATTTATCAAAATGGAGGTAGCTCTTATGAATGCTTTTGCTGCGTGCTTTACCCTCTACTAAGTCTAACATTCCTAATTTAATAGCTATTTTTGTTTGAGACTTAAAAGCGGTGCCCATTGAAGGAATGTTTTGCTGTTGAGGAAATGCCTGCCCCTCTCCTAGGAAAGGGGAGCTCAGCTCCTGGTCCACTGGCAGTGGCTGGAACAGAGCCATGGCCTGCTGAATCCCAGGAAATTCGTGGTGTCCCTGTGCAGAGCCCTCTGACTCATCAGCGATCCCACAGTGTCTGTAGGAGAAGCATAGTTAGGTGAGAGTTTCATCCTGAACGTAAGAGGTGTTTGGGTCCGTAGTTCCCTGAGGTTTCCATGAGTTGGAGGAAAGGAAGCAGCCCTCACACAGACCAATTTACCAAGCCTGAGAGGAAACCAAAAGGCCTGTTTGAGAGTCAGCCACTTTCACACCTCGCTGGACGTAACTAGGGTCTCTACTACAATAAGCAGGACTTGTAATATTTAAAATTATTATGAGTGCTGCTTTTATGGGAAAATATTCGCATTAAAATATAACTTAACTCTGGTGAAGTAATGAAACAGTAAATCAGTGATGGCTTCTATTAAAAATTAAGTCACCGTAATTATGTGAATGCCTTTAGAAGGATTGTCCGCAGTGTCCTGGCGTTGGACTTGAATGGACTCCTCAAAAAGTAGAAGTAACCAGGTTTCTGCCTATGAGGAAGTGTAAATTGCATCATTGCTTCCTTCAATAAACTTGCATTTTAAATAGGCTTTGAAAAATAGGAATTTTCTCTCTGTTTTAAAGTAAAAAACACACTTTTCACTTAAATATGTTTCTAAATTTCTGTTTCCACTGTAGTCATTAGCTGGACTTGTGCTACTCCAAAAGAGAATGTTTACTTCGTATCTTTTGTCATCATAAAATGCACATTCTTATTTTATAGGTAATGTTAGTGCATTTGAAATAATTCTAGCAATAATAAGTAGAATTGTCTCCGCTACCTGTGGTTATAGAGAAAATGATATTTTAATAACGTGTACATAGAATTGGACTACGTTATCAATATGTTAAATATGTAAATATCAGTATAAAATTAATAGTGATAATGCCAAAAAACTATTGCAGGAGCCAAAAGTGTAAGAACTATGGTTTAAGGTAAATGCTTTCACACATACGGTTTTTGCCTGCAATCCTTATGTTCAGGCTGACTCGGAATGTAAGATTCATGAGTCTCTGTCCCTCTTTAGATGTTGTTTCTGGTGTCAGAATGGAAAAAGCAAATATTGACATAGAGGGAACTCCTTTCTCCTGTTGGAGGTATGCGGCCGTCGCTGTCGCTTCCGAGGCCGCGTGGAGATGGGAACATCCTCAAGGCAGAGCAGACTTCCTGGAGGCTCAGCTGGGACGTCTCCAGCTCTGTAGCACGTTTTAATTCCATACAAGAAGTTACTCCCAAAGAAGTAAATTGAAGAACGAAATCGAGGAAAAGAAAGTCCTTTTTTGAAAGCTCTTAAACTCTTGACTCAGTTAAGTTTGGATCAGGCTTTCTCTGCCCTTCCAAATATTCAGGTTAAGTATTGGCAACGTCCAGGAAACAGTGCTCTGGAGAACCCACCCTCTCTGCCAGCATAAATATGTACAGCGTAGCTGTTACTATGACAACTACTTCTTTTTTCTTGAGTACTGTTGTTAATTGTTGCACAAACACATATTGTGTAAGAAAGGGGACTTGGCCATAGTCTTCCACGGGTGGGTGTGTGTGCCCACACTGTCTGCTTTTTAAAAAAATGCACTGGGCTCCGTGATCCCCCGCCTGCCAAGCAACCTGATTTTCTCTTCAGCCCTTCCTTACTTAGATGGTTTTAGTAAGACCTAGCAACTGAGCTCAAGAGACACGTCAGGACTTACAGCTTGCCCAAGACGTGTACTTTTCATAGAAAATTCGCGTCTCTTCCTCTTTTCAGAATAAAATATGCAAGAACCAACAGAAATGGCACATCCCCCCGCTTTTTCCCAAGAATTGGGCCTTTGATGTTCAAGAGCAGCTAATATTAAAGGCTCTCCCTAGAAGGCTGTAGAAACTGTACCTATTTATGACAAATGTAAAACAGCACAAATCTAGCTGAATATGATGGTATCATTAGTTTGTGAATCGCATCCTTGAAAATAACTGTGGAGGAGCCAAATCGGTTTAAAAGAAGATAACAAAATGGTTTAAGCTACTTAGGTTGAATGCCAATTATATTTTAATATTCAACTGAGCATATTTTACTAAGAAAAAAGGCCGCGTTGACGCATGCATAACTCATTGGCAGCGTCGGCCAGCTGTGCCGCTCCACTCTCCGAATCACTTTGTGCATTTTAGTAGCATGGTAATTTAGTAGAGGACTACCTGAGTGATGGCATTTTCAATGAGCAGGTAATCTACAGAGAATTTTTATATGGTTATGAGTTCTGTGCTTCAGCCCGGCAACACAAAAATACATCAAGACCAATTACGGTATCAACTTTCAGTGTGATACCCTTGCCACGGAAGTGCATGTATTTCTGCCCCAGGCATTTCAAATTGCATCTAATTTGAAATCTTTGGGGTTTTAATTAAATTTCAGAATATATGGAATTCTTCATTAGTACCTGCTCTGAATAGCAGATCATCCTTCTCCCAGTCTCTCGTTAAAGAAGTAGGCTGTGGTAAATAGCGTGTTCAGTAGCTGATCATTTGTGGGACCTGGGTATTGGAACAGAAATAGTGAAATGCAAAATAATATCAAAAAGATTATTAGTCCAGGGAGAGTCTCTTGATTTGTATTTTAATGGAATTTTACATTTCTCTTAATGATTTGCAAATTGTCCTCTGATTATAAGATGCATTAAGCTTTTCATTTTAATGGCAAAGACACAGCCATTAGCAGAATTTTTTTTTTTCTGTCTTCTTTTTAGAGTGCTTCCCTGCAGCAGATAAATATTGAAACCATTAACACCTTTTGATGTACGGTACAGTCTGCATCTTAGACCCATACATGGCTGGCCGGCCATGGTCCCTCCGTGCCGCACACCTGGCTGGGGACCCTGACTCTCCTCTGGGGACAGTGAGCAGCAGTAATGCCTGTTTCCTTTTCTAGAAAACAGGATTCTTTTTGAAAATTACATTGAGGGGTGGTGGTTATTTGTATTAAAGCAGTGCATTTAAATATTATTCATGGCCCAATGTGTATTTAAAAAGCTGGTCTTACCAGGGTTAGGGTTGACGATGCCCACAGCTCCTACCTTGCTCTGGTCTGTGGGGCTGGCCTTGGCGATTTTGGAAATGGAATCTGGCCTTGCCCCCAGGATGTTTCTGTGTCAGCCCATGTGCTGTGAGAGACACACAGAGCTTTTTCTGTGTTAGCCAGCTGACCACGGCACGACCCCAACGCGGGGACACTTGACTTTGGTTTGGCCTCTGAGATAATGTCTCAGTTTTAAGGCCAGGACTTCTAGTCCCCTAGAAGATGAATATGATTTACACGACCAGAGCTACAAGGCAAAGCTCATCTCTTCTGCTCCATCTGCTGAATGTGCACAGGGAGCTTTAGGCTTCGACCTGGAAGTGACAGCCTGCGAAGGCAGTGGCGCTTCGGGCTAGGTGTCTCCTTGCGTCGGAGCCCTGTACAATCCAGCAGCTCTGTCTGATTGTATGGTTAGGAAAACCAAAGCCAAGGGGGCTAGACAATGGCACTGCTGAGTGCGGGCAGTGGCGGCTGCTCCCAATCCCCGCCCTGGTGGCCCTGCTTGCCCTCCGTTTCAAAGGGTGATTCTTCACTCCAGGCTAGCACAGCTGACCCAAGAGTGAGTGTCTCTGAGCAGCTGTGGCTCTCAGTCACTTACCCCCTCACGTTCGCACCTCGAGGTGGGCACAGCACAGGTCTTCCAGGATCTGAGGGATGAAGCTGGACACACCTCCTGCCCTTCCTTTGCCCTCTTCTGGTGAGTGTCACCTTCCCGGGCTGTCAAGGTGATGTGTACTCAGGCACATCACCTTCCCGGGCTGTCTAGAGCCAGTCTGTGTGCCCGCTCAGGTGTGTCACCTTCTGCTCAGGCGTGTCACCTTCCTGGGCTGTCTAGAGCTAGTTCATTTGTCCACTCAGGCGTGTCCCCTTTCTGAGATGTCTAGAGCCAGTCCATGTGCCTGCTCAGCCATATCACCTTCCCAGGCTGTCTAGAGCCAGTCTGTGTGCCCACTCAGGTGTGTCACCTTCCTGAGATGTCTAGAGCCAGTCTGTCTGCCTGCTCAGGCATGTCACCTTCCCAGGCTGTCCAGAGCTGGTCTGTGTGCCCACTCAGCTGTGTTACCTTCCACTCAGGCACGTCACCTTCCTGGGCTTTCCAGAGCTGGTCTGTGTGCCCACTCAGACGTGTCACCTTCCGAGACTGTCCAGAGCTGGTTTGTGTGCCCACTCAGGCATGTCACCTGCTCAGGCATGTCACCTTCCGGGGCTGTCTAGAGCTGGTCCGTGTGCCCGCTCAGGCATGTCACCTTCTCAGGCTGTCTAGAGCCGATGCGTGTGCCCGCTCAGATATCCTGTCACCATGTGGGCCCTACTCCTGTGTCAGGGCCATTAGCTGGCACATGCTGTGTGGTTGCCTGGTGCGCACTGGGGCAACCTCGGGAAACACTCTTAGCCTTCGTATTGATCAGTGCAGGCTGCCAAAACAAAGTGCTGCCAACTGGGGTCTTATACAACTGAAATCTTTCTCAGCTCTGGAGCCTGGAAGTCCAAGACCAAGATGCAGCGGGGTCTCAGCTATTCAGACCAAGGTGCTGAGGCCGCCCTGCTTGCCCTGCAGATGGCCATCCCCTTGCTGCATCCTCACACGGCCTTTCCTCTGGGCGTGCATCCCTTGGGTCTCTATATCATAATCTCCCCTTCTTATAAGGACACCAGTCAGATCGGATTAGGGCTACCTGAACAACCGAATGTGAACTTCTTCACCTCTTAAAGACCCCATCTGCCAAGACAGTTGAAATGCTCAGGGTTAGGGCTTTGACATACGAATTTTGGCAGAACATAGTTTAGCCCATAACACCCTTTCCAAGCCTCTGATTATCTGTCTGTAAAGTGGGGACAGTAGTAACATTGCGTAAAATGTCATGAGGGTAAAATGAGACCACCAAACAGTCAGCAAAAGAAATACCTGCTTATTTCACAGAGTCTTTTCTCCAAAATCCAAGTGGTAGTTAGCAAACCGGGACAGCTGACTCCACCTGGTCCTTTGGAACTCAGGGAAGATTGGGCCGTTACTAGGAAGTGCTGCTCTTTGCACCCAACGGAACTTCCCAAGGACGTTTGCCCTCTGCCCTTGCTTGCTATGCGTACGGGTTACAGGAAGTGTGACTAGTACTGTATGAGTTACAGGAAGTACTAGTACCGTATGGGTTACAGAAAGTGTGACTAGTACCTTACGGGTTACAGGAAGTGTGACTAGTACCGTACGGGTTACAGAAAGTGTGACTAGTACCTTACGGGTTACAGAAAGTGTGACTAGTACCTTACGGGTTACAGAAAGTGTGACTAGTACCTTACGGGTTACAGGAAGTGTGACTAGTACCGTACGGGTTACAGGAAGTGTGACTAGTACCGTACGGGTTACAGGAAGTGTGACTAGTACCGTACGGGTTACAGGAAGTGCGACTAGTACCGCCCCACAGCGGTTCAGAAGGAGTGTTTTGGTTTGTCATCTCCACATGAAATGCATGGAGTCAATTTATATTGTAACTGGGAAAAGAACATTTTTCAACCTGTTATTTCGTCTTCCTACTCACTGTTAAGTTCTAGGCCACAATAAATGGCTGCCTGCTGGGACTCCTGCACTCTGGGATGACACGTTCAAAGCGTGTGCCCAAGTAGGCTGCTGCAAGAGGGTGAGCATGATTGGGGTGGGGTCACTGGGGTCTGGGGAGCCAGCCTCAGCCCCTCCTGGCTCAGCACAGCCCTCGTGGCCTTGGGGGCCCACAGGGTCACACTCCCCCAACCCTCCCACAGCACCGGGCTCTCTGCCCTGTGCCTCACTCTGCCCTAGCGGGTTCCTGAGTACCGGGAGGCATTCTCTGATATGCTATGGATATAGTTATGGACAAAATGAACTCTTAGGAAGGCAGCAAGTGAGGGGAATGGAGGGGCAAAGAGCAAGCACACAGCTAAACATTGCCTGACTCAACTGTGGTAGTCACTGGTGCACTGCAGGTTGGTGTTTGCACCCTGCCAGCGTGTGCTCCTGAAACTGGGGCAGGAGACCTTTCTTCTCTCTCTGAGCACTCAGAGCAGTGCCTGCCAGTGCTTGACAATGAATGAGTGAATAAGCAAAGTGTCAACCCATTTTCACGGTTTGTTTAATGTCCCTGGACCTGGATTTCTCTTGAGAGTGAGCGTTGAACGGGCCTTCCCTGCCCCTACCCAGAGCTCAGGGCATGGACCTCAAATGCTTGGGTCTCTCCTCTTCTCTCTCCTGTTGTAAATTTAAATGTCAGGGGGAAAAAATGAGAAAAATATGTAAATAAATACATTTGCAATCATTTTATCGGATGAGAAGAGTAGCAGTTTCAGGAGTTTCATTCAGAATAATCGTCGAGCACATGGATGGCAAGTTGATAGTTTCATTATTTTTATTATGAAATATTTACTTTGGACAAACGGATATTCAAAACTGACTTGTGAGGAATAAATAATAAAGGACAGAGTCATATGTGTGCCACCCAGGTGAAGTAATAGTTTGTTTTCTTTCCTTCTGTCAGTAGACATTTGGGTTCTGAAGTTTTTGCCTTTAAGACTAATGATGCTACCAATATTCTAGGATATGTGCCCTAGTGCTCCAGCTGGCTGGAATTCGTGGGTGGAGTACGGGAGAAGAGGGAACTATACAGAGAAAGAATTCCAGAGGTCTGCATGGTATCCCATTGAGTCTGTTGCAGATTACAGAGTCATACATGCATTTGTAAACCACATGAAACCAGACAACTATTGGGGAACTATAAGTTGAACCAATTTCAGATAAATGAACATCACTAGAACTAGAAAATATGTGGACAAGTATGAAATATTTCTTCTATTATTTAAAAGATTAACTATTCATGGTAAAGTTAATAAAGATGTATTTTGTATTTTATAATACACATAAAAGGAAAACATATGACAATAGCGTAGAAGATGAGACTCTGAGGAAATGGAAATATATTGTTCTAAGTTTCTTGCTTTATGAACAAGTATAATATTTGAGGACAGACTTTGATAAATTAAAAATGCATGTTAAAAATCCTAGAATAACACTAAAAATAACCAGAATCTATAGCTCATGGGCCAACAGAAAAGATAAAATAGAATGCTAATTCTTTTAAAGAAAAAGAATGTAAAAGAAGGAAGGGTAAAGGGAGAACAAAGAACAGATAGGAAAAATAACAAGTTGGTAGACTTAAACCCAATCATATTGATAATTACATTAAATGTAAATGTTTTTAAGATTCAAATAAAAAGACATAGATTAGTAGACTGGTTTAAAAGGCCAGAGCCTGGTATATATTTTCTACAAGACAAAAATAATTTAAAATGATGAAAGAGTCCTATATAAAAATGGAAGGAAAAAAAAAGGAATACATTGACAGAAAGGTATAAGTAAAATTGTATTTATTTTCAGATCACATAATTATTTATATAGAATATCTTAATGTTGAAAATAACTATTAAAACCAATAAGTGAATTTAAGAAGGTTGAGGATACAATTTTAACGTAAAATGTATTCTATTTTTATATAATATTATTGAAAGTAAATTATAAAACAGTTACTTTATGTATTTAACATTAGCATTATTAAAGATTATTATTTAAAGATATGCAAGGCCTCTCTACTAAACAGCATAAAAACATGGCTGAAAGAAATTAAAGAAGACCTAGGTAAATGGATCTTTATTAGTTATTGAAAGAGCCAGTGTTGCAAGAGGTCACATCTACACAAATTGTCCTCTGTATTCAGTTCAGTCACACTTTTAAATTATGTCAAAATGCAAAGAGCCTAGAATATTTAAAACAATCTCGAAAAAGAAGAATGAATTTGTAGGACTTACATTACCTGGTTCCAAGACTTCCTACAAATCTGTGGTAATCAAGACACTGCGATAAGGATCAAAACTTAGAACAATGGAACAGAATAGAGACCAACATTTTTGCAGTTCTTGTATCTTTGAGAAAGACACAAAGTAGATGAATGAGGAAAGTAAAGTCTTGTTGGCCAGGCATGGTGGCTTACGCCTGTAATCCCAGCACTTTGTGAGGCCATGGCAGGCACATCACTTGAGGCCAGGAGTTCAAGACCAGCCTGGCCAACATAGCAAGACCCTGTCTACTGAAAATACAAAAAATAGCCGAGCATAGCGAGACCCTGTCTCTACTAAAAATACAAAAAATAGCCAAGCATGGTGGCGCACACCTGTAATCCCAACTACTCAGGAGGCTAAGGCATGTGAATCACTTGAACCCAGTTGACAGGTTGCAGTGAGCTGAGATCATGCCACTGCATTCCAGCTTGGGCAACAGAGGAAGACTCCATCACAAAAAAAAAAAAAAAAAAAAAAATGCTTTGTCAACTAATGGTGCTGAGTAACTGGATATCCTTTTTTTTTTTTTCATTCCATTTTCAGATCACTTTAATGGTTAGAAATTTGTTACATAACTTATTTATTTCCATAGGGTTTTGGGGAACAGATGGTATTTGGTTACACGAGTCAGTTCTTTAATGGTGGTTTGTGAGATTTTGGTGCACCAAAATTGGTGAACCTGATTTGTAGTCTTTCATCCCTCACCCCCTTCCCACCCTTTCCCCTTGAGTCCCCAAAGTCTATTGTGTCATTCTGATGTCTTTACATCCTCATAGCTTAGCTCCCATGGATAACCATTTTCAGATAAATATTATTCACCATGACCTTGGCCTCACACCATACACAAAAATTAATTTGAACTGTATCATATACCTAAATGTGAAGCTGAAACTCTAAAGCTCTTAGAAGAAAACATGAAGAGTATCTTTCTGATTTGGGTAGGCACACATTTCTTGTAACACCAAAATAAAAAACAATGGAAGAAATTATTAATAAATTAAACTTTATTAAAAGATTTCATTAAGAAAATGAATAAGAAGCCACAGAATGAGAGAAATTTTTACAAAACATATATCTGACAAAGGACTTCTAAGCAGGGTATATGAAGACTCCTGTAACTCCGTAATGAAAGGACAAACAACCTAGTAAATAACTGGACAGAACATCTCACATCTTCATCAAGACATATAATACACAGATTGGCCCACGAGTTCATGAGAAAGTGCCCGGCATCATCAGTCATTAGGGGAGTACAGGTTAAAACCACAATGAAAGACATCTGCCTATATTCCAGGATGGCTCAGATCAGAAAGCCTACCACCACCAAATGTCACGGAGACTGTG